CAAACCCCCCCGGGGCCCCCCCCCCCCCCCCCCCCCCCCCTCAGGGGGAAAACAATGATAGGTGCATAACACGGAAATTGAGTCGAACATTTGTAGTGCTTTGCCTTTATCTGTTATTCACGAGTTTGTTGAACTGCATGAATGCGACTTCTGTATCTTATAAATATAGAAAGTTCGATATTTTGAGGGAAGGCTTTTCACATGGAAGTTTTGTAGGATCACTGATAGGAAGCTATTCACATCCAGACGAAGGTCTTCGCTCAAAATATGTTTTCTATATTTATTAACCGGTTGCATCGTTCAATCAACCTTGCAGTGTATAGTGTTCATTGCTGTCTACAATAAAGCCAAACACTCGACATCTAACAAATACATCGATAATGCATAAAAACGTTTCTCAAATGTACAGAAAACATACACATACCTCAAAATATAGCCATAGCTTTCAAACTTAGAATTCACTTCAGACGCTTACTTAGAATTCACTCCACTCTCCAGACGCTTGTAGGGTTAATGTATGCAAAGTAGTGTTGAATTACTCTCGCGGATTCTTTGAAGAATGCTTTCGCGGAAGTGCACACATCAATCGAAGCAAGATTTACATGAAGACAATTCTGTAAAGAGAAAGTTCATTTTTATAAGGTAAGGATGACTGTGTCACCATAAGAGTTATTATTATTACAAATAGACAGAATAAGCTTAGGATATGAACTATCAATACTAATGTTGTGATATGCATGTAGGTACGGTCACGAGGTAATTTGATTGAAATTAAAACGCGGACTGCACGGCTGTATTGACTATATGTATAATATATCATGCGCGACAAGTCGTTTATTATCTGACTTTCAAACACGGAGAAGTTTGTTGAGAGGATGTAAAATTGGCTTAATCTATATGGGTGTATATTACCACTTTTCCTAACTACGTCTAGTAAGCTAATTTCCTGTGTTTCATTATTAGTAAAAGTATGGTTACTAACTACCCTAGCTTTATAATTCACTTTTATAACAAAATATTTCCTTTTATCGGCAAAGTGTTTAAAAAAGGAAAACAATTACTCCATGCGTAGATCATATAAATTCGTAGATATCATTAATTTTTCAGAGTAAAGAATGGCCGGGAACTTCAGCATCGATGATTTGACCAAAGAAACTGAAAAGCTTGGTATTGTAGAGCCAGATGAATCTTACTATGGGTTACAAGGTCTCGATCCAAACACAGTGCTGTATCGTGTGTGTCGATCCGACCAGGACACCAACAAGGATATTGTGTGTAAAGCAAAGCCGGGTACCCCAGATGCAGAACGATCAGTTAATCGGCACATCAACAGTGGCAGCAGAATAGATTCACGTTTTATCTCAACAACAGCTTCATCTGACATCGCCTTAAAGTGGGCGTATTACACCAAAGAAAGCAAAGGCGATGTCAAAAAGAGAGAAGTCCCACTGCCCATAGTAAAAGTCGACCTTTCAAAGATGACAGGCATGCAGGAGTTGAAGGATTTGATCAACCTTACAGATCAAAAAGTAAGAAAGCATTTCGTCAGTGGAGCAACTCAAATCAGCCGAGTGAAAAGTTCGCAAGAACTCCTGTTCCAATGGCGTATACCAAAGGAAAACCCAAGTGGAAAAATTGTGTTCGAATTGTGGGAAAATCCACCAGTGCCAAAAACACCCTGAACACATTAGAAAAATGTCAAAACTTGTTTGTTTGGATTAAGATTTCTCAATAATAAAAATGTTTTAAATTAATAAAGTGCTTTAGTTTCAGTGTTGAATGAAAAATTAAATCATATTCAATTTATAGGTGTTATTTTACAGTAAATAATAGTGTTGTATCGCAGTAATTAGGCTGAAATGACTAGCTATACTCAAAATGGAAAGGTTTTATATATATATATATATATATATATATATATATATATATATATATATATATATATATATATATATATATATATATATATATATATATATATATTTACTGTTTTATCTGCATCAGAGTTTTAAGAATACGAGTTTTCTCATACAGTCAAACGAATGATACATCTTAACCGGGATATCTCTATCGTTTAACATATAAAATCGAGTCAATGTCAAACTCTATACATTCATGTTTGTTCAGAGTAATTAATGTTCTGGTGTTGAAAAGTAAGAGTCAGTGTTCAAAATTCCAGTCGCGCAAGAATAAAGGTCCTTTACCAGCAGTGACAAGAGAAATTCCACGTAGAAGGATGATTATTACCGTGGCATTCAGACTTGATATCTTTTGTGTTTTGCGCATGAATTTATATGCCCGATGAGGCGATGACCCCTTTGGTTCTGCAGAGACCTATCGTGGAATTTATGACCTCTGGCACCTGCCTCGTCCCTCTTCGCTTCAGTTTCGAATAGAGATCAGTGGGAGAACAATGGCGAGTGGGGCTAATGGGCGACCGCGCACGGATGAGGGACTGTGGAAGAGTTAGCTCTGACTCTGCGAAATAGCTAACCCAGAGCGACGGGTGGTTCGGTATTTCTCGCGCGCGAAATACATGACAACTTGGTAAACCTTCGTTACTAAAAATACATCTGGTCGAGACGAATTTAAAAATCTAAGAACGTAAGATTTTTGCCAAATTTTAGAGAATTTAAGAGAGGCAATAGCCTTAAGATCGCCTGATAATCTATATTGTCTAAGACGAGACTCTGTAATATTTTGTTCAAAACGAGAGCGAGGAGGATTGTAAACGACTCAGCGAAATTTTAACACGAGTCAAAGGCAATCATGCGCATCGCGCGCGCGCAACTCCAATACTCATGTATTTCGCAAGTCAGAAATTTCGCGATACAGCGGAAATACAATCCCTGGAGTACGTCGAAGCAGAAACAGAGAAGAAAATCAGAGCCACGACAGAAGCACAGAACGTTCTTAAAGAAATCTTTCATTTCTTGTAAGGTAAGATTTGTCAGGATGAGAATTCACGTGAGTTATCCACGTAATGTGCAAAAAATCTCAGAAAGACTGCATTTTTAAGCTTCGTCATGGTAGTCATTGGCAAAATAGACTAAATCCTGACGTTTGAATTAAACAATATTTAATAATAAAGATATAAACTTCATAATATAGGTGGCTTTCAGAGGGTCCCCAAAGTATAATCCTTCTTCGCATTTAAGCCTGGTTTCCATATGGTCGTAACGGTCGTAAAGATTGAGTCACGATCTTTCTCGTCAGCCGAAATACAACATTTTAGAACTGAAAATACGTGGAGTGATTATAACTAGAGAATACTTATGATTTAAATGTGGTTTCCAGGTATAAACCATTATCAACTGGCCGTTGAGAAAGATCGTGACTCTATTTTTACGACCGTATGTAAACCAGGGTTTAGCATGCTGTCTGACAAAGAGATTTCTCAATCTCAGACCATGTCTCTCCATAAATTACAGGAACAGCGATTTTGCAATTTAATGCCATATAGATTATAGTATTATTATAACAGCTATTTTTAGGGCCCCGCAAATGCATGTCTGGGCAAGACAACCAGGAAATATTGTGGATGACGTCAAACTGGATTAGGAAATAGAAATAGACAATTCAAGAAAGATTGCATTGAATATTTTTGCTGGATAAGATAAACATACCACCTAGACTGTATTTGACGTGCAAGGGCATGTAACCGCGTTGTATACTTAAGTAACAATGGCCTCTAAATGCATTTGTGCAAAGATCTCTTGAACAGTGGCGCTCATGTCAACGAATACAGAGTAAAGACAAAAGCAGAGGCATCCCTCCTGGACGTCCGCCATTTTGAATATTATCAGGGGGTGAATGCCTCTCAAACGCGCACTGGCTAGGACCATGGCGTCAGCATTTTGATAGCGAATTACGGTTACGCCAAAATCATTGGAAAATCATAGGAAATACCAAAAAGTCGGCCTTCTGTATAGTCTATTCTGTGGCGTTGTAGAATATGAATAGAGACCTTACGATTTAGGACAGCAACGCGACGGTAACGGCTACCAATACAATAGATCATTGAAAAGAACTGAATAATTACAATATATGAATAATTTAGACATCCTGTGTAACGCCATTATTCGAGAATGTCTAAGCCCCTGATCAGACGAGGAATTTCTTGCTCGCGTTTGACTGCTAGCTATAAACTCTCATACGAAGCTAAGCGTAGTATGACAGACCCAAAAAGCTCGAAGCTTATGTATAAAACACTTATATTTTGCAGAGTAAATGGCGCAGTCGTTGGAAGAGGGTTTATATCATTTAAACTTAATGTCAAGCACGTCTGACTACTGTGGAATGTGGGGTCTTGATGAGCTATACAGAGTTTGCAGAGATGACGAGAACATTAATCCAGACATCGTGTGTAAAGCGAATCCGAATGATCAAGATTCATGGAACCGAACAGTTGAACAACATATCAACAATGGCAGTCAAAATAGTTCACGATTTATCTCAACGACCATTTCACGCGATGTGGCCTTAAAGTGGGCGTATTATACGATGGAAAATCCTTCTAATATCGAAGAAAGGCTGACACCACGACGAATCATAAAAATCTTCATTTCTAGGATTCCTCAAGATACAGCAAGTCAGATGATCAATCTTACAGTTGAAGAAGTGCGGAATTATTTTTTGGGCGGAGCAACTCAGATATGCCGAGCAAAAAGTTCTCAAGAAGTTCTGTTTCAAAAGTATATACCATTCTATACATGGTACCAGGGAAGTTCACAACAAGTCTTCGAATTGTGGCAACATCCACCAAAGCCCCCAAAACCGAAATCAAAAAACCCTAAAAATAATGTTTATAATGTCTTGTCCGGCAAAGGGAAAAGTGAAGCCAAGATGGCTGCCATTGACGTCCAATAGCTCTGAAAGTCGTAAACAGTTTTTATACCATTTTCCCCCCAGCTAATTCCAGTTTTTCTCTAACACACCGCATTGCTAAACAAGTTATCAGTTCATAAAACCATGGTGTTGTTCTTTAAATCGAAGTCAAAATACGAAATTTCGGTACACTCCTTTTCAAGATGGCGGAAATTGAAGGAGCTATTGGACGTCAGTTCCAGTCCCTTTCTATTGTTTTTGTCTGCGCGGTTAACACAAAGCTGGCTTCACTTTTTGGACTCAAGTTCTCACTCCAGGTATATATGGAGCTCACTGGGGCTTTATAGTTAGGAAGAGTTCTTCTCAGCCAACAAATAGAAAACAATAGGTACGCACTGCGTACATGTGGCTAGCCTATTCAGACTTTTAATCACAGCTGGAATTCACATTGTCATAAACATTCATCAAACATTCATTGTGATACAAAATTAATAATTACAATTATAGAATAATGGTCAAAATAAAACAGATTCAGTATTTTTCTTACAATTCCAACAAATGGCTTTGATAGCAATGGCACAGCCAACAATATTATTGAGTCGCACTTTAATTAATAAATGTTTTGCTTTAATAATAAGCATATACAGTACAGCAATACAAAAATATAGTGAGAGGTATTGTAATGCATGTCTAAACAATCCAGCAATTCATTAAGATTTCATTGCATGGTTTAAAAGTTTTCTTGAATTGCTGGCATTGCAAATTTCATAAAACCTTTCAATTCAAAGTTCTTCATTAATATAACATTTAATACTAGACAGATTTTAAAATTTTGAATTATTGTAAGATCTAACAGCATCAGAATTTATAAGAACTCATCCAATTGATTATGTCATCACCACTAAAACGTTTGCATATTCTGATGATTTAACCAGATCAATCTTACTATGGGTTACAAGGTCTCGATCCAGGCAGTGTTGTATCGCGCATGCAGAGTTGAGGACGAGAACACCGACAAAGACATTGTGCGTAAGATTCAGATTCGGATCGATCGGTTGAACATATCGCAAATGACAGCAGCAAATCATCACGATTTATCTCCACCACCACCTCATCTGACGTGCTCTTGAAATGGAAGAGCATAAAAATCTACCTTTCAAGGATGACTGGAATGAAAGCGTTTGATGAAATGATCAATCTCACAAATAAAAGTGTAAGAGAGCATCTCATCAAAGGAGCGACACATAGAAACTATGCGAAAAGTTCCCAAGAGGTGTTGTTTCAGAGGCGTACCAAAGAAAAACCCAAGACGACAAAATGTGTTTGAATTAATAAGCGATATGTAACATCGTAGTCAAAAACTATGGGTTCTTGAATCTTCATATCATTTGTTGACAAAATATCAGCGAAAAAAACGAGAGCGAGGAGGGTTGTAAACGACTGTTGAAGACACTTGTTTTTGCGGCAGTGAAATTTTAATACGAGTCAAAGCAAATCATGCGCATCGCGCGCGCGCAACTCCAATACTCATGTATTTCGCATGTCAGAAATTTCGCGCTACAGCGGAAGTACAATCCCTGGAGCACGTCGAATCAGAAACAGAGAAGAAAATCAGGTAAGAAACACTTTGTCAGGATGAAATCAAGTTCACGATTGTTTTCCACGTAATGTGCAAAAAATCTCAGGAAGACTGAATTTTTAAGCTTGGTCATGGTAGTCACTAGCAACATATAAAAAGACTAAATCCTGACGTTTGAATGAATGAAAACAATATTTAATAATGAAGATACAAACTTCATAATAGTTGGCTTTCAGAGGGTCCCCAGAGTAAGGCCCTTCGTCGCAGAGTTTTAGCATGCTGTCTGACAAAGAGATTTCTCAACCTCAGACCATGTCTCTCCATAAATTTCGAGAATAACGATTTTGCAATTTAACAATACCATAGTGTTATTATAACAGCTGTTTTAGAGCTCTAATGCATGTCTGGGCATGCAAGACAACAGGAAATGTGGATGACGTCAAACCGGATTAGGAAAAATTAGAATTTCTAGAAGACATTGTTGACAGAGTCTTGGTATATTTCATATCAATGGCTTACTCAAGTGAAAGGTATGGCGCACATATATATACAGTAAATACTAAATAGCATATCATCTCCATGCGTTTATTCATTAATCTTTCAAGCGATTTTATACGATGTGTACAATACAATAGTCAATAGACAATAGATATAGCTGTGGATTGAGAGATACAACGACCTGAAAATATATAAGCAGAACTTGTATGTTTCGAGCGAGGGACCTTTGTCGCGAACAGTAGTAGCCCAGGAAGTGTAGTAAATTCCCGACGAAGGGTACAGTTTTGCTTATATTTTGCAAGTAGTCGTATATCCTTCACATCGCAGCTGCCTGTTATCATGTCTACCTATCTATCGTGTACAATATCCGAAAGCTTTGTTGAAGGATTTAATAAACTGAAAAATATAAAAACAACTTCGATGTTTCTAGCGAAGATCATTATTTGTCTGAAGGTTGCTAGCGTGAAAACCCACGCGACACACGCTACTGATCACCAGACAAAGGGTTTTGCTAGAAACATCGCGAAAGTTTTTAGATTGTTCATAAGGTAATTATATCCTCAAACCACACAGCTGGAATCCAGCACTATGTAAATATTGTTTTACACAAATATTTTGTATACTGATGTATAAGTATATGCATGTTTGTCATCTGAAATGCGGGGTTAAGTGGGGGTATAATGTTCAAGAATAGGCCATGAACTTGTGGTTGGAGCTCGACAACTGGACTCTGTAGCTCAGTTGGTTAGAGCGCTGCACTGGAATCGCAGGGCCGCATATTGGATCCCTGCCAGAGGGACTATATAGTTATATTTTTCGCCATACTGCTTCTGGCTAGGTCTAATAAGTATATAAAACTCGATATGAGGGGGGGGGGGGTGTTGCCCCCGCCTCCCTGTCTCGCACGCGCATGCAACCAAGTGTAGTCAATGTATTGGTTAGAATTAGAGTACAGAGTTAGGATAAGTTATGAGAAAACACGATTACTATATATTTTGAAATCCCTATATTAAAAATGTGATTGCTTATGGGATTGACTCATCCTCCAAACATGAAATCCATGCTCAACCCAGACAGTGTCTTGCAATTATGAAACTTTAGAAAGATTAAGATACCCCGGTTTCGGTGTACGGGTACGAGTAGTGTCATCTTGTTTTACTGATGTCTGTAATTCCATCATACTTTTTCTGTTTTCTTGCAATAGACAATGATATAATGCACCTTAATTACGAGTAAAGGTGCAGACATCGACAAAAATATTGCTAACCAAAATCATGCTACCCGTACACGTACACCGAAACCGGGGTATCTTAACCTCTCTTTTATGTTGCAGAAAAACGGTCGTGCCGTGGAACGACATACGGAATCGTTGGGTAAGGTGTGCAGGTGAGAGAAACAAGGCCGAAGTAGTGAAGAAATATTTCAATACTTTTGCCACAAAACATCCTGGCTACACCTTTATAATTGCAAAGAAATTCAATGACTTGTATGATGTGTGCATCACGGCTCAACAATGCTCTGCGATCAAGACGCATTTGGAAAGGGAATTTGGCCTTTCTGGATATCTAGAAAAAGCTATGTCTATGGAAGTGCCTTGGAGAGATTGCACAGAAAAATCGTTCAGAAACGCCCAAGATTTCCGAGAATATCGAGAACATACATTAGTTTCCAAGAACAGACCCGTGATCAGGGCTAAGCATGCAGAAGCGAGGCTGCATTACAACAAAGTAAAAGATGTTTTTACAAAGAGTGCTTTTCAAATTCTCTGCTTTGATATCGAGGTGTACGAGCATAACCGTAGTATTATGTTGGAGATTGGTTACGTAATTAGTCGTTTTACTGCAGGCGTGAGGTACCTGGGTTTCGGCAGCCAAGGCGAGAAACCAGACGTAACCCTGGTCACTAAGCGTCATCTCATCATTCGAGAAAATCTTCACTACAAGAATGGTGATGGAGTTCCAGATAATCGACATGGGTTCAGGTTCGGTTCCTCGGAAACCTTGTCGCTTGCAGATGCAGTGAGAAGGTGATTATTTTTATTCAAACTACCGTCCCTCCAGGGCTTATTTATTTCAGGTATATCTGAGGGGGTATTGGGAAGAAGGGCGTATTCATTTAGATTATGGGAGGGGTGGGGTGGGGGCTTACGTTCACAACGAATTAAAGCCACACCGTAAGATCGGAAGTATATGAAGTTGGCAAAGCCACGTTTTCGTAGGCCAGTGTAGTGCTCTGACCAGCCATATAATTCATTATTATAATTATGTAATATTTCAAATGCGACTATGAGGACTGGACTGGATTTCAAGTCCGCGACATTTGGTCTTGAAATCTAGCCAAGTCCGAATCGGAAGATTTGAAATGACATCTCATACGAATAAATCACTACGTAGTGATTGAATTAATTTCAATCCAGTCCTAGCTAGGACTGGATCAATATAATACTCATTAAAAATTCATAAACCTTGTGATAAATCATTTCAGCCAAAATATGTCACGTGGAGTGACTTTATATCTGATAAACTCATCTTCATTAGTATTCTTTATATAATTCTTCATCCTAATTAGTATGATTATATAATTGTTCATCTTAATTAGTATTCTTTTGTAGTCGTATTTTAAGCTATTCAAAACACTCGAACTCGTGTTTTATCATATCCAAAACGCTCGGCTGCGCCTCGCGTTTTAAATATGATAAAACACTCCTTCTCGTGTTTTAAATACTACTTCACCTGGTATCCAGTATTATGATGTGAGCAAAATTTGAGATTATCATGTTAAAGGTTTCGTGAAGATGTCAGAGAATGTGATTACATCCTTGGTCACTCAGTGAAACATGACGACGCCTACCTCAGAAATATAGGCGTCGATTTGAGCGAGCTTGGTAAGGAAATGTTCGACACACAAGTCGTCCAAACCTACAAAGAAAGTTTGAAAGAAAGTGAGAAATATTTCATGCGTGGTCTGTCTCATCTATTGAAAGAGTACAAGGTTAATTATGAAGAAAGTGATCTACATAACGCTGGCTGTGATGCCTTCTATACGATGATGGTGTTTTTACGACAGATGGAATACAGTGCTGAGGAAGTCAATACCATCATCGCATCTTAATAGGAACACGTTGATTTTACGAAGAATATTATTACACTTTTGATATGAATATATTAATAACAATACAGTACAGTACATGTAGTACAGTAATGACATTTAGATGATATGTAGAGGTACAACCTTACATATTGACAGGGAATTGATATCTAGTTGTAGACAATTTTTGAAAAAAATTGTATGGGTTTTTTATATGTAGATACAGAAATATATTTGAACGCAAATTTATATACATTTTTTGGACGTAACCAGGAGCAGTTGGGACAAATGCAACTATAGCTCCTCTGGCCGGAATCAAACCTGCTGTCCTGCGATTCAGGTGCAGCGCTCTAACAGAGCTCCGATTTTCTCACAGCTGGAAAATGAAAAAAATTAAATCGTATTCAGTTTAATCAAAGGGGATGGATCGCGGTAATGCCAAAGCTAAGATGAAATACTGGATTCATTAAAATACGTCATGGTTGTTAGTTGAGCAAACATCTTTCTCCATAAATTTCGGAAAGAGGGATTTTGCAATTAACCATACCAACGAAAAATTGACAGAAAGAATCGAAGACCCCTTTACAGAAATTTTCATCGCAGGTAAGAATGCCTATGTTATCATCCATAACGTGCGCTCTCTTTTCAACGATTCGAATTGACTTATACAACAACTATATTTTATTATTCTTACCACCTGCCAACACAATATTTCCTGTTTAATATTCTTTTATTCAACTTTCGCTTTTCAAAAATTTCCCACAACAATTCTAATATTTTTAGCTTTTTTACATGCTTCCTACTGTGACGCGGTTAATACATTCAGCTTATTACCATTGTAGAGCAAGTAAGAAACGGTTAACGTCGACAGTATTTTGATAAAAGTACAGTACAAAAGAAGTTCAAATCACTTAAAAGCAGAAGTGGCAGACCATTGGGATATTTTATAAAATGGCTCACTCATTGCAAAGGTATGGCGTACTTTTAAGTATATCAATTATGTTTCAGGCACTTTCATAATACGTGTAAAATACTTACAGACTGTAAGTATATAGATCTTTATCATAGCTGTTCAGAGATCGTTTTGTAATTATTAAATTTTATATTCCAGAAAAGTAGTGCCATGGAATGACATGCGGAATCGTTGGGTAAGATGTGCAGGGGAGAGACACAAGGCCGAAGTAGTGAAGAGATATTTCAACACATTTGCCGCAAAACATCCTGGCTACACCTTTATAATTGCAAAGAAATTCAATGACTTGTATGATGTGTGCATCACGGCTCAACAATGCTCTGAGATCAAGACGCATTTGGAAAGGGAATTTGGCCTTGCTGGATATCTAGATGAAGCTATGTCTCTGGAGGTGCCTTGGAGAGATTGCACAGAAAAATCGTTCAGAAACACCCAAGATTTTCGTGAATATCGAGAACATACATTAGTTTCCAAGAACAGACCCGTGATCAGGGCTAAACATGCAGAAGCAAAACAGCACCACGACAAAGTGGAAGATGTTTTTGCAACCGCCCGCAGGAGAGCTTTTCAAATTCTATGCTTTGATATCGAGGTATACGAGCACAACCACGACATTATGTTGGAGATTGGTTATGTCATTTGTCAATTCTCTCCAGTCACACGTTATACGAGCTACAGGAGCCAAGGTGACAAACCAGACGTAACCCTGGTCGCTAAGCGTCATCTCATCATTCGAGAGAATCTTCACTACAAGAATGGTGATCGAGTTCCAGATAATCGTTATGGGTTCAGGTTCAGTTCTTCTGAAACCTTGTCAATGAAGGTTGCAGTAAAAAGGTGGATATTTGTAAATATTTTATATTTACAATTTTGTAGGTTATGCCCAATAAATACGTGAATACCCCACCAAGGTCGTCCAGGGGCGCAACTGTTGGGGGGAAGGCGACACCCCCCCCCCCCCAAGTTAAAATGGTGTGATACTCGGAGGCAAACTTTGTCTAGTGCTGGGCTGGGCAAAGCAGTTGAAGTCATGTGTAGAAAAGATAGAAAAGTTTACGAATTTCATGGCAGATTGATTGGTGACCACGCCCATTTATCGGGCAAAAAGAACTGAGGTCGTCTTTTAAATGAAGTAACAAACCCCTTTATTAAGCCCCACGCTCAGTTTACAAGAAACACCAATGTGCATTGGTTGATTAGTCGCCCAAGTGGCTACCGGTCGCCAAATTTAATATCAGTTCGCCATAAATCAATGTATTCTGAGGTATTCCTTGATATATAGATAACATAAGAAAACCCCGGTTGTTTAATATGTCGGGAAATTATATGCAAAAGCAGATACTTAAAACTTAAGATACTGAAATATTGTATTGCTTTCGATTACTTTAATCATTTCATATCATCAAATATCGGGTCTCCAGATAAAAAAAATCTCTGTCGCAATTGGCTACCTGCATGGCCATTTTAACCTCTGATGTATCGAGTTTACTTTCGAAATCTCAGATTTTAATTTCCAACCTGCAAACGGGCACATTCTTGCCTTACGAAATTAGGGAATTCATAACGCTTGCGGAGAGGGTTATATAGTCTAAAGCCGTCTACAGTGTTTCTTATCTGTAGTGTTTCTTATCTGTTGTGATTCTGCACTTCTGCCCCCTCTTTATTGAGCTTCCCCCTCTCCAGTAGTGCCTGCTTAATAAACCCCCCTGAGTGGCTTAACGGAAGATTTATCCTGTATGAATAATCAATAAAGTTTACATTATTTTTATTATCATGTTAAAGGTTTCGTGAAGATGTCAGAGAATGTGATTACATTCTTGGTCACTCAGTGAAACATGACGATGATTACCTGAGAAATATAGGCGTCGATTTGAGCGAGCTTGGTAAGGAAATGTTCGACACACAAGTCGTCCAAACCTACAAGGAAAGTTTGAAAGAAAGTGAGAAATATTTCATGCGTGGTCTGTCTTATCTATTGAAAGAGTACAAGGTTAATTATGAAGACAGTGATCTACATAATGCTGGCTGTGATGCCTTCTACACGATGATGGTGTTTCTACGACAGAGGGAATACAGTGCTGAGGAAATCAATACCATCATTGCATCTCAATAGGAACACGTTGATTTTACGAAGAATACCATGACAATTTTTTTATATAAATACGATTAACTGCAATATTATTAACAGTATAGTAATGACATTTAGTTGGTTTGTAGAGGTACAACCTTAAATATTGATAGGGAATTGATATCGAGTTGTAGACAATTTCTGAAAAAAAATGTATGGGTTTTTTATATGTAGATGAAATATTTGAACGCAAGTTTTTATACCATTTTTTAGACCTACCCAGGTGCAGTTGCGACAAATGCAACTATATAGGCTCTCTGGCAGGAATTGAACCTGCGCTTCAACAGCGCTCTAATTTTCTCACAGCTGGAAAATGAAAAAAATTAAATCGTATTCAACTTAATCAAAGGGGATGGATCGCGGTAATGCCAAAGCTAAGATGAAATACTGGATTCATTAAAATACGTCATGGTTATTAGTTGAGCAAACATCTTTCTCCATAAATATTGGAAAGAGGGATTTTACAATTAACCATACCATAGCAACGAAAAAATTGGCAGAAATGTCTTATTAAAGTACTTTATATAATGAAGTTCAGTGTTAGCAAATGAATATATTCATTGATACTGACATTTTATCCACGTAAAAGGATATTTATTACCGTGGCATTCGGACTTGATTTATTTTGTGTTTTGCGCATTCATTATGCCGGATGAGAAGTGGTGTATTCAAGTGCATTCTGGGAAGAGGTAATTCGCGGAAGTGCAATCACAAAATGCATAAGTGCGTAGCGAAGAAAGAAGAAGAATAAGTCCTCAAAAGAAATTCATATCTTGAAAGCTGCCTGTTTTGAAAGGTAAGGATGACAATGTGATCAGATATGACAATGCCCTCAGATTATTACGTTAACTAAGCACAATCTCAGAAAGACCGAGCTATCTTGTAAGCGTATCTCACGGTGCAGAATAATAAAGCCGCCAGATTGAATTTCAACTGAATTTATGTCTTCAAGAAAATCCTATAAAATCCGCGTGTTTTTGATAAAATTAATTAATTTATTTCAACTCATATGTACGTAAAGCAAGCTTCATAAACAAGAAGACAATTTAGTACTGTAAATGACTGCCTGGCTATGCATACAATGCAACCATTCTCAAATGTGCTGCCTTCATTTCCGCTCAACTGTTATGACGACGGAAATATTCTACGCGCAAAAATAATTCTTTACAGAGCCGATGTTTGAATGAATAAAAACAAAATGGTTACTAAAATGTAGCAATTAATATTCTCAGTCACGGTAAGGGTTGCACCCGTATGTTGCCTTGATGCCCTATATATTTACCAAGATGATGACGGTCATCAATTAATAATTCATGAGGAAAACACAAAAAAAAGCATAAGCGTCCCTTTAAATTTGCACCCTATGAATTCAAATTCCATTTTTGTGCGCAACTCGAAAATTTACTTTTCAAAATAATTTTAGTGGTACAGATACTAGTAGACCCCAAACTACCCATGCTTGCATAAAGTTTTCACAAATTTTACAGAACTTGCAGTTTAGCGAACATTTTCGAACTTTGCACTTTATTATACACCCTGTATATCTGTGCTACTCACCAACAGGAAAACATGTACATCAATATTAACAACGAATGGCTGGGACACCATGCGCAACAGTATAAACCAATTAGCCATTTCCCAAAGTCCTGGGTCTGGTCGCGCAAATCCCTTGATGAAGGGACAAGAAATATGGCAGCACACATTTAAATGAAATGTTTAATGTAAAAAGGAGATATTTCATTTCTGGTCGTGTAAAAAGTTGATATTTGATAGTGGATACTTCTACTCTTTCCCATATTTGACGCCTGTCTCCATATATTTTGTCCCTCCAAACGATTCCGGAATGCACTGTGATCTCGTTTGGGAAAAGGCTAATTACTATGGGCCATTTCTTTACATATATAAATACCTAACAGCAAGCTATTTGATTGTTCAGACTCCGACCAGTGTTACGTTTTAAACACACTGTCTTCCAAGATCTGGAACATATGGCATCAAAATCTGTAGCAAGGGCGAGTTAATTAAAGAAGTATACCCGTAACAATGTCTTAAAAACTCAATAATTCATGAGGAAAACACAAAGAAAATTATTACCGTGTCGGTGGTTTTATTTGTGATAAAAAATCATGTTAATTTACATAAACTTTAGCTTCGATTTTCTCGGTTTAGATAACGCTGATTTTTAAAATTACTTCGCCAATGAACTCATCAGATGGGTCGTTTTTTAAGCCATTTAAAACACTCGTAGTCCGTGATTTATCAGATATAAAACACTCGGCTGTCGGCTCGTGTTTTATATCTGATAAAGAACTCCTGCTCGTGTTTTAAATAGTACTTATAAATTGATGTTATCCATGCTTAGGTTCATTTATACATATCATGTTCTTGTCACGCACACGAAGAATGTACATACCCGTCTAACGAGTAGTATCATTGGCTTTAATTTACTATATCTTTCAGGATCTGCGTGTGTTATTACTTGAGATTACTCTCGCTGTGTATATAAAGCCAGCAGTAAGGAGGGCACAACCTACTCAAAGTATCCATACACTCGGACTGAGAAGAGCTAGAACACTATGCTTCCAGCAAGACTACCACCTTTGAGCTTCACTCCACAACAGATAGCTAATATTTGCGAAACTTTGGAAGAAAGCGGAGATATTGATAGGCTGGCAAGATTTTTGTGGTCACTACCAATAGCTCCAGCAACGCTTGAAGCGCTAAGTAAAATGGAAAGCGTATTACGCTCGCAAGCTATAGTCGCATATCACACAGGGAACTTTAGAGATCTATACTACATTTTGGAGAACCACCGTTTCAGCCGTGACTCTCATAGCAAGCTACAGATGATGTAGCTGGAAGCTCATTATGTCGAGGCAGAAAGGATGAGAGGACGATCACTTGGTCCGGTTGACAAATACAGAGTACGAAAGAAGTTCCCGCTACCACGAACAATCTGGGATGGTGAGCAAAAGACGCACTGTTACAAAGAAAGAACACGTACACTACTGCGCGGATTTTACCTCCAGGATCCATACCCCAATCCTACTAAGAAGATAAAGCTGGCGCAAGATACAGGCCTTACTCCGACACAAGTCGGAAATTGGTTTACAAATAGACGACAACGAGACAGAGCTGCCGCAGCCAAACACAAGTAAGTAAGAAATTGGCTAGTGTACAAATCTTCTTCCCCAATCAGTTACCATTGTGTGAACTGGCTCGTAAGTGTTTAAAGCTCCCTCTTATTAACTTGGCTAGTTTACAAAACGTCTTCAAATTTGCTGCACGAGAAACAAAAGAAATAAGATCAAAACGCAATTAACTAGTGAATCAAAACCATAATCAAAATCTGAATCAAAACTTGAATCAAAACCATAATCAAAATCTGAATCAAAACCATAATTAAAATCTGAATCAAAAACTTGAATCAAAACCATAATCAAAATCTGAATCAAAATCTGAATCAAAACCATAATCAAAATCTGAATCAAAATCTGAATCAAAACCATAATCAAAATCTGAATCAAAACTTGAATCAAAACCATAATCAAAATCTGAATCAAAATCTGAATCAAAATCATAATCAAAATCTGAATCAAAACTTGAATCAAAACCATAATCAAAATCTGAATCAAAATCTGAATCAAAACCATAATCAAAATCTGAATCAAAACTTGAATCAAAACCATAATCAAAATCTGAATCAAAATCTGAATCAAAACCATAACCTGGATTAAAACCTGGTTCTGATTCAGGTTTTGATTTTAATTCATAATCAAACTGCACCTCACTGCACAATTATCCCTCATAGCCCCCCTGATACCCCATCATTTGTCTACAAGTACTACGTAATGCTGCTTTTGGCCACCGATTTGCCTGGGAAGGAGACAAACAGGCTGCTCTATTTACTGTTCGGCGAGTACACCGGATAGAACACCAACAGAATCGAACCGAAAACGGTCACGTGACTGTTCTGGTTGCCCCTATTTTGAGTAGGGGCAGCCAGAACAGTCACGTGACCGTTTTCGGTTCAATTGTACTAGTGTTCCGAACTTTCCGGAATGCTCCGAACAGTAAATGCGGCAGCCTGTAGTTTAACTAGTTTGTCTGGACACTATGACTGACGATTCGTCAAATCGGAATTTTAAAATAAGTTTTCTTTTAATTAAGATTCAGTAAATATATAATCATTTTTAATTAAAAGACATCTCTGAAGTATGCATGGATATAGGCCTATATACCAATGTATATTTCGTAGTTTCAAATTGCTTGTAAGTTGTGGTATAACTATTTTGTTTTTAAGGCGTGCAGCTATAAATAATAAATTGAAACCGAGTTGATGTTGCCCAGACGATTTGTAAAAGACAATTATTCAAAATACTGCGGATTTCGATATAGCGTTTCAGCGCTTTAATTTCCGATAATTATTTTTTCCGTTAAAACATATACGTTACTAAGGGTCAATGTCAATGTCAATGTTACTAACAATCTCGTACCCAGAGCCACTCAACGATGGCTCTGGGTAGTGGTCTTTGCCCGTTGTTTTCTTGTTCGTTGTTTATCATTTGTAAATGTAACTGTTATATTCATGTTTATCTCGTCACTGAGCAACAAATTTATTGATATTTTTGAAATTGTAGCGTATAAAAGGCCTCAAAATTAGTTACTAGCCATTTATACGCTACAATTTCAAAAATATATTTCGTAGTTTCAAATTGCTTGTAAGTTGTGGTATAACTATTTTGTTTTTAAGGCGTGCAGCTATAAATAATAAATTGAAACCGAGTTGACGTTGCCTAGACGATTTGTAAAAGACAATTAAATATTCAAAATAACGCTTCTTTTCTACGAAAACAAATCGCATTATTCTTACAACAACGCGACATTTTTCGTATAAAGTAACTGTTCATATAACGGAAAATTTCAGACAAATCTTGGACAAATTAAAGATGGCTTATTCGACACAAAGCGCACGGGCATGGTAAGGGAGGCTGAATACATATTATACATATAGCTATATATACACACAAGATACGCAGTATATACGACAACCAACTTTCTAGGTTTTCCATCAAATTTTAGTTTCATTATAGCAAATTCAAGATATAAATTCGCCTACAATTGTGTGTCGTACATAAAATGCAAGTCGAGAAATTCGTTATAATAGAAAAATCATGAACCATTACAAGTAAGGCAGCATGTAAGGTTTCAGACGTCTAATTTTCATGTGCCGAATCTAGACAAGCATGACACAACAGTGTAGGATGAAAATGTTGAATAACGCCAAGCCTGATCCAACATCTTTTTTTGTTGCAGTGAAGAAGTTATGTTCAGCTGGGCAAAGATGAGAAAGAAATGGATTGACTTTGCTATGAAAAAATCAGATGAGACAGGTAGAAAGGTCTTAACGTATTTAAACATGTTCGTTCCAAACAGTGGTGGATTTTCCTTTACTATAACACAGTTGTACGACGAGCTGTTTCACGTTTGCGTCACAACTGAACAATATTTAAAAATCAAACGTGAATTAGAAGAGGAGTTCGACCTAGAGTTACCAGTCGTTCGGGAACAGGGATTGCTTTCTGGGGGAGCAAGGCAAGAAGAACGGGTTAGAAACAACACGGAATTCTCGCGATTACGTGAAGAAGATTTGGTTGAAATGAACAAACCGATTATCAAAAGAAAACACGAAGAAGCACAAGATCACTTTGCCTTGGTGGAAAATGCTTTCAGTATACAGGATCAAAAAGATTTCTTGGCATTTGATAGCAAGGCGTACGAGCACGATTACTCAAAAGTTCTTGAAATCGGCTACGTCATTGTTCGTTTCTCACGACATGGCACAGAAGGTAATCTTCCCAAGGCAAAAGTGATTAATCGGAAACATCTGATAATTGAAGAGAATCTTCACTTGAAGAACAAAGATAATGTTCCAGACAACGGAGATGAATTCAAGTTTGGTGTTTCGGAGACCTTGTCGCAGGAGGATGCAGTGGAAAGGTTTTTATTTGTAAAGACTGTCGCATACAACCTGCTTACAACTTGAGTTGTACTGTGTAAATCAAGCACACAACTCACCTACGTTGTGTAAGTACACAACTCGCCTACGTTGTGTAAGTTGTAAATGTAAGCAGGTTGCATGTGACAGTTTTAGGTACAAGTTGTGTATTTTAAACATGTAAATGAAGAGCCATACTGTTAAAATGTTACCCTGCAGTAATTTATAATTATCATCATTTTCGTGTTCACGGAGACCTTCTGCAACGGTACTATAGTGTCAACTTGTTGTTCATGATGACATGAAGATGAAATCTTTTTAATTAGGTTTCAACAGATGTCTACCACTTTTCTATTTTCTGAGGTTGATTATTAGTTCATATTATTTCATATTTCAAATTTATACACTCGTTAAGACTGGTCTACACTATCAAAGTTTCTGTGATCCAGTAGGAATTTTGCATGTTAGGTAAATTCTAAGTTTTGAAGGATTTGTTTAACACCGAGCCAGTTCCCTCAAACACTTCTTACAAATCCTTCAATTAAAACTTAGAATAGTGTAAACCACGCATTAATCTTCCCTTACTATCATGATTATCATTACTATTACGATCCCTCATGACTTATTATCACTATTATTACTATTATTTAAAGGTTTCGTGAAGGTGTTAGAGGAAGTGATTACCTTCTTCAACATTCAGTGAAACATGACGATGCTTACCTCAGAAATATAGGCGTCGATTTGAGCGTCCGTGGTAATGAAATGTTCTACACTCAAGTCGTCCAAACCTACAAAGGAAGTTTGATAGAAAGTGAGAAATATTTCATGTGTAGCCTGTCCTTTCTGATGGGAAAATATCTCGGCTATCAAGAGCGTAATCTACAAAATGCTGCTGGTAGTAAAGCCATCTACACGATGATGGCGTTTCTACGACAGATGGGATACAGTGCTGAGGAAGTCAAAACCATCATCGCATCTTAATAGGAACGCACAGATTTTCTAAGGAATATTAATCATTTTAATAACAGTATAATAATAGTAATAACCACATCGAATGTAATTTAGTTTAGTATTTTGTTTTATCTTAATACTGTAAATTTTGCAAAATTATCTTATAATATTGTAATTTAGATATAGGTTTGCAGAGCTCCAGTTGATAGCAGTAGTTTAGTATTTTATTTTATCTTAATACTGTAAATTTTGCAAAATTATCTTATAATATTGTAATTTAGATATAGGTTTGCAGAGCTCCAGTTGATAGCAGGAGTTCTTACTGATTGGACTACCCTGTAGAAATAAAGGTTTAAAAAAAAACTAAAAAGCATTAAATCATGACCGGATTTTGAGGGGAGATGTAGGGAGGCACGCACCTTCCCTGAGATCGCTTTGCGCCTCTCTGAAATTTCATGCCGCTACCCCTTGAAATTTCATGCCCCTCCCCCCCCAAACGTTTGAGACGTCTCATGCATGCATGTAAGCTGGAAAGGCGAATTATATAATAACTACAGTGAAACACGCAATTTGATTGGTCAATAGCCGTGCAGGATCAGGCTATCCTGCACGAGGTATTAAAATGCCTTCGCGGAATTGTCGCGGGATTCTCAAAATGTCATTGTTTCACTGTAGTTATTTTATAAAACAATTACCAAATGGTTTTCCAAGCAGGATAGCGTGATCCATGCACTTGGGATGTTGCTCGACTTTCGGAAAGCGTAAAAATACACTCGCCTGCGGCTCGAGTATTTTTACGCTTTCCGAAAGTCTCGCGACATCCCTCGTGCATGGATCACGTAATCCTGCACGGAAAACCATTCGGTATTCCTTTAAT